GTATTTTTATAGTAGCATGTAGTATAAAGGGTGAAGTGAAAGAGTTTTTTGTCTTTTTTCTATTTGGATTCCTGGTAAGTGTCCATTAGCTCTTTCTTTTAACATGCATTAAATCTAACTAATGGATATCAAACCAGCTTAGAAAAATGGTAATTACAAAGCAGTTGCAACAAAGACTTTGGAAGCACAACTGCATTGAGACATTGTCTGAATGCCTTAAAACCATGAAAGCCCCGACTTTATGGAGAAATGCAGTTGTGTGGATAGGAAAGCAGAGATTGCAGGCACAGTGATGGGAATCAGGAGACTTTTTGGCATGCTTTGGGAGCAGAAACAATCACCCTGACTCTCAGATTCCAGAGTGATTCTGGGGAGACATTTGTTTACGACTGCATTGCTCATATAGATACAGGGCAGCTATCTTCCTTGTTTTCCTCCTTTTTTTAACTTACAAACACGCAGAGATCAAATGAGATACAGTGAACATAAAATCCTTCTTTAGTCTTTTACAAGCAGATGCAATTAATTTTAAGATCGATAAAACTGAAGATACTGGTAAAAACGATCTGTTGGCTTCCATCACCCTCCATTCTGCAAGGTATTATTTTGCCTACCCCGTAGAAAGCTTGATTAATCTAATGGGAATATTTTCCATTATGGGTGCTTTCAAGCATCTCTCTTGTTTCTTGTCTGTTGTTAGACTGAAACAAAAGTATCTCATTTGAAAAAATAATATCTGGAGATGGCAGTCTCTGGGAAATAAAAGTGAATGTGTTGTGAAGTTCAGATTCTTGGGGTCTTACATTTTATTGATAGATCTCCTTCATCGTGCCACACATTAATTTTAACTCAGGTGATATATGAACTTGGCACATTAGTTAATGAAAAGCTAATGCACAGTAATCTTGTCATCACTAGCTGTGCATGATAATTCAATCTGCTCCTCAGAAGAGCTGTTCAACATGCAACAAATTTGATTTAATAGTGACATGATGTACTAGGTTAGGTATTTCATTTAACATACCATGCACCTGATTTGATGAGAAATGCTTCCCTTTCAACAGGTTATCTACCTGAGTTAGCAGGCCAGGTGTGGGGGTTAATGCAGTTACATCAAGCACCGTCTGGACTGGGTGTTTGTTATTTGATACACAGCACACAGACTTGGGCACATTCCTGAGTTTTGGCACTTCATGCATTCATTTAATGTTGTCAGCTTGCTTGTAGGGAGGATGTAAGCATGTCTGCTCCTTCCGAGCCAAAATTAAAGCTGATACTTCTTCCACACACTGAAGGCATGAAGACCCTCTCTCCGTTTGTACAGCTCTCTTTTGGCTCCATCACCGGGGGTCAATGTTCACTAGGACCTGAAAGGGCTGATGCACTGTCCCTGGTTTGTGGTAACTGCTTCCAGTCTCTACTTGGGCAGGCTGCAGGTATTTAAAGGATATGTGGTTAATGCTTTGATTTCTGCAAATGCACACTCACACTCTACAGCTGGATCAAGCAGTCTGTACGCTGCTTAGGATTTTTTTCATTTAAATCCTAACGATCTGAGCCTCAGTTCTCCAGTGTGTAGGAAATGTACGGTCTGCCACTGTTCGTTTGCCTCATTTGTGCAGTAATAGAGGCCGTCTGTGAGGGTGTATTCCCTTTATTTTAATATGAAGATATATCTCCATGCATAGGATATAGAAAGACGTCATTATTTACTACAGAGTGGGTAAATCATCACCAACCACCTTACTGTAGTGGGAGACTTTTTATGGCACCCAGAAGATGTTTGGCACTGTAGCAGTATATATCAGCAGCACTCTGCTGAATATTCTTGTACACAGATATATGTTTGTGCCACTCACTGCAGCACGCCAGTACGTAAAGGATACATTTTACTTAAAGACAGGACAAATGTACAGAAATCTGAGCAGGATGCTGGTGGTGAGCACGGGTCAGAGCAGCGGGCCCCCTGGGAGCACTCCTTGGGAATGGCTCTCGGCAAAGGCATGAGGAGATGCCATCAGGCTGCTGCCCTTGGGTCAGCACAGCCAGGTGAGAAATGCCTGCATGCAGGAACCTGAATGGATGGATCAGCTCTTCCCAGCCGCCACGCAGTCTGCAGAAAGAAATGAGTCAATTGCAACTGGTTTCCAGCAGACTGTGGCCAGACAACTCGCCCCGGGGAGCAGTGGAGAGCCGGGGAAGGAAGAGCTGCTACATTTCCATCATGTGCTGCAGAGTGCTGCAGCCATGCAGGGCCCTTTGCAGAGGATGTTTTATTAAGTTACAAGTTAGTAATTAATGCCAAGTTCCTCTCTTTATTTTCTCTGTGGTTGAGTTTCATAAGGGAAATTAAAGAAATGAGATGGAGAGGGAGCAGATTGCCACTTGAAATACAGCTCCCTGGTGCTCCGCTCATGACTTTAGAGACATTTGTCCAGTCTCTTCTCCCTTTATGGAGATGTAGGTCAAACGCTGCTGAAAGACTCATTTGTTTTGAAGCAGATGTGCTCGGTCCAGTGGTCAAAAAGCAGCATGGCAGAAAAGGTCAGGGAAAGAGTGAAGGACACCCAGTGTGTATACGTGTGCCTCATTCATAGCAGAGCTACCATCAGGTCACCCCATGTCCACCACAGCTGCACTCCCTTTGTTAGGCTGGGAACCCACCACCTCCCTCATGTCCTGGTTTGTTTTGGAAAATGTGGTGCAGACTGAGAGATCCTTCCAGAACAGTGGGGTGTATTCAACTGAACCCCAAAAAAACAATAACTTTTCTATCTGAGCTGCATTAGAACAGAATCACAAAATACCACCTGTTGTCTGGAGTACATCCCAAGACTGCATATGTCCCAAAATAGATTCTGTTTTCCACTTCTGCTTTCATTAGCCCCAGGTTTTGACATTCTGTTCAGAGATATTTTCTGTATAGAATGCATTAAGATAACATAGATCTCAAATCAAACATCTCTTCATTCAGCATATTTCCTATTTAAATTTCTCCTGTACATTTCGCCTGTACCTATCTAAGGAATGGCTTTTTTATTTGTATCAGTTGGCTCATGATAACTGGTTTTGCAAAAGAGCAAAAAAAATAAAGAATGCTTGAAGAGAAAGGAGAAAAGAGAAAACCCTTTGCTTGTGCAGCCTTGTTTCAATTCAGTGTTCCTTCCGTCTCCCGAAGTTTATTGATTGGGAAAATATTAAAGATGTTGAATGGTTTGTTTTCATTTCACGAATGTGAATCAGGATTAGTGCAGAAAGATAGGAATGTATTCATCATTAGAATTTGCCTTACACATTCATTTATTTTTTAATCTATAATTCCTATTGAACTAAAAAAACACTCAGGGATATGTATTACCACAGAGAACAAAAAGAGCCCTGATGGAGCCGGATGGAAAAAGTTCAGCAAAGAATTTTCCACATTGCTAAAACACAAACTTAGGTAGCCACTTTTTGCTAATGCTGAAAAGCGTTGTTTTCCCAGACTGGGGGAAGATGCTGGGAGGTTGCTCGCATACTGAATGTCTTCAGGACACTTGACTAGGCTACAGATTCGAGTGTGCTGCAGCCATTGATTAGAGCTGCTGATTTACAGCATGGGGTAGCTCTTTTAATTCTCTTGCAAACAGATACAAGCTCCTAGCTCTTAGGGCTCTCCCTGAGTTGGAAACTGGTTAATTTTGTGATCAAGCTGGGCTTGTTAGATCAGACATGATGCAATACAGATGTAGCTGTACGGCCTCCAGTTTGCCAGTGGCTCACATCTAACAGAGCAGGCTGAATGAGCTCGGCTTGCAGCAAAACTCGTAGCTGTGTCTTGAGCCCAGCTTCTCGTTGGGACAACTTTGCATCTCCTCGAGTTTGGCACGCTCATAAGGTGTCGCATCCTGTTTAGGGCTCTCAAATGAGCAGTGCTCACTGGTAAATTCCATCTCTCCATTGATGCTGTTGGTTTCTGATGGTCATTAAACAAGGCTATGTCTGGTTTCTCTGCCTCTCTTTGCCTCCCACTCTTCCTCTTCAGGTCTCATATGTTAGATTCATACACTGTTGCAGATTGCTTTTGCAAGCAGCATGCATCTGCCCTTTCAGTCTTTCTCTCCAACCAACATAACAAGTGTAAAGCTGGGCCCTATGAGCTCTGGGGGGTCACAGGACCATGCAGCTGCAGGAGTCCATCCAATCAAGTAACATCTTTTACCCTCATAATTACAATTTCCCACTTTAACAAAACACCCTGCTGCCAAACTCCAGTGATAATGAGTCTGTCAGAGCATCAGCGCACTCCCAACTGTATCTAGAAAGTAGGGATGATTTTCTTTTTTTTTGCAAGGCAAATGAAGACACTGATGATTAGCAAGAAACAAACCAATGATTCAATACATCACTGGCCACACATACCAAATCATTGATTTTCCATCCTGCTGGGCAGCAGCTGTTCCATTTGCTCTGCAGAAATGTTTTTTTTTTTTTTTCCTCTGGAAGGAGCTAGAAGGATGGACATTTCTCCCAAACAGGAGGCAGCCGAAGGTTGTTTGCTACACTGGGCCTATTGATGGGGTCCTGGGTACGTTGATGGGGTCCTTCTGAATCTGCTGGGAACTCTAACAGGCTTTCTGCTGTTAAACTCTGGAAATACTTTTGAATGCCTGTGAATGCAATGATTGGTAGATGGAAAAAATTTCCTAGGAGAATCTATATGAAATTGCAGGACAAAAAAAAAATGCTACCCTAAGACTCACAATCACTGAAAGAATTAGAAGTTAATCATTGATATCCCCATGTACCTTCTTTCTGTATATCAGCTACATGTAATCAGTCTCCTTGCAGATCATCTAGTCTCAGCACTGTTGCTATTTTCGTATTCCTCACCTTGTCTAGACAGAAATGGGACGTGGTCTCCCTGCATTTCTGAGTACAACGCACACCCCTGAGTCTATGGGACTGCAATCTGCTGTGCAACGAGATAATCCTGACATTTTGTCTTCTCTTGTTCCAAGGTACCTACGTGATGACAGTGACTGCGAATGACGCTGATGACAGCACCACAGCAAACGGGATGGTGAGATACCGAATCGTGACTCAGACCCCCCAGAGCCCATCGCAGAACATGTTCACCATTAACAGTGAGACAGGAGATATCGTCACCGTGGCTGCTGGCCTCGACAGGGAGGTGAGTTTGAACACAGCCACACCAAGCTCCCAATCGTATCTTGAATTCAAACTCTACAGACGTTGGAGTTGCAGTGAGGAGTTCATGGTCTTTGTTTCTGCGGTGACTGTGGTGCATGGTGGCTTTGGTTGTCTTAATCCATAGTGGTCGATGGAACTCTGGGAGAATTTCCCAACTTAGGATCTGGTATTTACCTTGTGTAACAGTGCACAACTCAAAGATGTAGAAAATCCAGAAGGAACAGGGAGATGAATAAATTGGCATTTATCCTCCTTCTGTCATGGGAAAGATAAAGTGGTATATGTCTATAGCCCTTTCTAGACCTATCTTGCTTAACTCTCTTTATATTATCTTTGGAAGCAGTTACACAGCCTGTATTCCACACACTTGGCATGTTTCATGATGGCTTTCTTGTATCATTTCCAGATTAGGAAAATGTCTTCTGGTGTATGTTATCAACCTTGTGATTTTGGTTTTGTGTGCAACTCTGTTTTTAATACCTCATCTTCTTGGCATTTTACAAGGTACAGCTTCTCCAAATATAGAAAAAATATCATTTCAAAGGACAGAAACATGCTCTGTTGGTATGAGCTATGTAGTATGATTCTTATAGCTCTGCCTTCTTTGATTCTGAGCATAACTCAAGGAGAAAGCATTGAACATTAAACATTTAACAAAAATCAGCATAGCATCAGTGGTGGGTTGGAGTGACTGTGAAGGAGAAGGCAGCAGTCTGTGGGTGTGAAGTGAAGGGAGAACTTAAATTCTGCCTGTTTTTCCCACTTGGATTTTATGCTTTCTGGTGGGTCACCTGTCCACTACAGTTGGGAGATTTTTTTTTGTCAACTTGTAAATGATAGGAAGGGTCGTTTGTTCATTGAAGGGATCACCACTGATAGCATGTTGATGCAGCCAATACAAAGGTAAGGCCTTGTGTAGCCTTCAGCTCAGGTGTTTGAGTTCAGGCAGTCCCCAGAGACAAGAAGTCTGTCAAAATCCATTTTTTTGAGTGTCAGGCTTGCATTTCTAAGAGAAGGGATCAGAAATTGGGTTAGTTCTTCCATTCTCTCCTTTCCTCTCTCACAACTGATGGCAGGGACCGAGTGGGTGCACATGGGTGCCCTGCTGCTGACACCAGCCTGGGAAGGAGACATCCTCCAGCACGTTGGGCATTTCTTTCCTGCCAGATCAGCCCCATCAACCCTATTGCAGTGCTGTGACAGGTGATGGCTGGTGTGCATTGCTGTGCACATCATTAATGTTGTGTAAATAAGCGTTCATCAGCATTCATTGCACAATCTTCACAAACTTCACTTACATCAGCACAGAGAACTCAATGACTCGTGCCTCTTTCCTTGCCTGCTTGGGGCTGGTTTGTGGCTTCAGGGGTGCATGAAGGGTACAGAGCAATGGGGGTGGCCCTCGAGGGGACAGCAGCAGGAGACCCAGAGGAAGAATCTGAGTTCTGGCAGAAAAATGGCTTTATGGGAATGACAGAACATTTATTGTCCCCCTGACATCAGTAGGGGTGAGCACTTTAATGTAGGGCTTTAGAGATAAAGAAAGGTTGTAGGTTTATATTAATTTTAGAGACACGGATTGTGATAGCAGGTTGAGAGGTTCTAATCTCAGGAAATCAGCTGAAAAAGAAGAGGCAGGTGATAAATAGGGGAAAGGGTAAGCCACAACGATGATATTTTTTCAGATTTATCTCCTTGCATCTGAAAGATATTAAAACTTACAAAGTAACCGTATGCTTCATATTCGTCCCCCTGTTGCACCAGGTCTGGGAAATGACAGCAAGGTGGCACTTTGTGTGTGGAAATCTGGTGCTGAGCATCCCACAGCTGATAGCAGGGTGAGCAAGGGACAGTGGGAACGAGGAGAACAAGCTGCTGTGGGCACAGTCCTGGGGCTGCCCTGCAGCTATGGGGCATGCTCGTTCCCAGTGCTCCCTGCTGCCTTTCAGGCTTACATCTGGAATCGACGGAAGGTTTCTATTTTATTAACATAAAATTATATTAGGTCTAAATTGAAAAATGTGTCTAAGCTCTCCCATGACTGTATCACAGATTGTTTTTTTGTTTTTGTTTGTTTTTCCTCAAATCTTGAGAAAGCTATTAGGAGTAAATTTGGTTTAGCTACTGACATTTTCTTGTTATTAGGAAAAGGAGCCGAAGAGCGGTATTTGGAATGCAGCTTTGTGTAAATTAAAATGTTAACAAATCTGACCTATTCAGCTGAAATTACTACAGCCAAGATAAATTCCCTGGATACCAGTTGTTTCTCCAAATGCTTATTGACACGTTTACCAGTGCCTATAACACTGTTATTTTAAGCTGTGTTGAAAGACAACCAAGTTTGCAGTCTCAGGCCAATCCTTCCACCTTGCTACTGCAGTGCAGAGGTGTCTTAAAGCGGGTGTGAAAGTAACTGTCAGAGTTGTGTGGTTTCGGAGGGTCGGCTCCATATTCCAGATCCAGCCTTTGTTTTTCAAAAGGGAGAAAAGTTGCTTCAAAACTGATGTTTCTAGCTCAGCATCTCTTCTGTGTGCTCTCAACCCAGTGCTCTCAGCGTCTCCACTTAGGGATTTGTTATTTATTGGTTTCTTCCATCATGTTCTATTCAAGAAATGTCCAAGAGGCTGGACTAAGCTTTCTGTCTTGCTTTGTGTTGTGAGATGTGTTTCTGTTAACCTGCGAGAATCCTACTTAAAGACAAATTCGTGTCGTTTACTGCTGTTTCTAAACCCTCATTTCCACAAACCAAGGGAGGGAATTAAAAACTCAGCCTCTAAAATTGTGCTGATCCCTCTAAATGTGTCTGACATGCAGTGTAGCTGAGGTATTAAAATATTGATGGCTTTAAATTTATCTTACCTGGTTCCCATTCATCTGAATGTAAATATGGTTACAATGCTCTGTGTCCATCCGCTCATTACCGCTGAATGGATCCCCAAGGAAGATAAAGATAATTGGACTGCACTTCATAAAAATTATTAAAGGAGGACAGGTTGGCAATAGTCTCATTTAAGCTCCCAGATACCTGAGGGTGAAAAATGCCAAAGGTGGAACAAAGAAACGTCTACCTCTGAACTAATAGGGAAAATGATAGGGATTTAGTGTATGCCAGAGGTTCAAATGTACATTCAAGCAACCGGGCTGAGATGAGAATGTTAAAAGCAGATACTTGCTCGAATACAGGAAATGTCAAGAAAATGTATTACATTTGTAGCTGATTTAGGAAACGTAGGGGGAAAAGATGAAATCATGATTGGAGTACAAAATTAAAAGGGATGGCTGTGAACATAGGAGATGAACAGGTTGTAACAAAGTTCAGTGGTGGAGGGAACCATGCTATTTTCTTTAATTTATGGCAGGCTGCTGCAGAAATGGGTGGTGCTACAAGGAACTGCTAACCCAGTGATAGCTCAGTTGAGCACTTTATCTGAACTCCAGACGTCATTGCTCTTTTTTTCTCCACTCAGAAGAAAACAACAAGAGGTAAAAAAGGGTTGGCTGTCCCCAGCTGGGGCTCAGAAACAGTCGGAACATTGGTATTGCTTTTTCAGTTCTGAAAAGAAGGATTTCTCCTTATAACAATGGCAAAGGGACCAGAGCTGTTCTGCATGTTTGCTCTGTTTGCCCATCCCAGCTCATGCTGGGGTCTGACAGCCACCCGTGAGCTCCCGATCCAGCAATGCAGCTCCATCAGCTCTTCTGATTTCTGTGGGGGCAGAACATCTGCAAACCTGCACTGGGGCTATAGTACATGCAATATCATCTCTAAAGAGCTCCCATTAAATATTTTATGAACGCAGACTTCGAGCAAGCAAGGAAAAAAGAAAGGGAAGAAAAAGATATGAGAGAAAAGGGGCTGGTTGATTCCATGCTTTGCTGGCAGGCCAATAAACGTCGAGATATCTCAAATGTCATCCGGGCTTATTTGAGATAATAAGTGTTTCGGCTCTGCGATGCTTGTAGCATAATGTTGCTAACTTTCTGAGACTTCCTTTGAAAGGAGACCCTTCCCAGCATGTTCATCTGGTGCTAAAGGAATGAAGGCAGTCAGGAGCTCTGAGCTGCTTCCTCAGAATTTCTGAATGTTTATATTTCTTTTAAAAGTGATTGGAGCTCTGTTGCTGCAAATGTTTTTAAAAATACATGAAATCCAATTCTATGATTACTACACTTGGCTTTCCGAAAATGTGATGTTGCTAGCCTTCCTTAAGTGAGAGGAAGATAAAAGGGAGCTCTTGCCAGAAACTGAGTTAGTGCCTTATTTTATTTATGGATGAAGCGGCAGGATTTGGATGAGGAAGAGGGAAAGTTCTTTTTATTGGTAGAGACTGTTGATTTCTTTTCCAACACTGTGGTCTTGGAGCAAATACACATTTGTGTTAGAGCAGAATTCTGAAACATTATGTTAAAGAGAAAAAAAATTGTGGTACCCTGCCCCTGCAAAGCCTGAGCTATGATTGGTTTTACCATTCATAGGAACTATTTCTTCTAGGAAACAGCGGTCAGGCATCAGCATGCGGGGTCCCTGGACACATTCAAGAAAAGAGTAGATGTCACTTAGTGGCATGGTAGGATGGGCTGATGGTTGGAGTATGTGATCCTAGCAGTCTTTCCAACCTAAATGATTCTATGATATCTCCAGGTCATTGCTTGTATCTTTTCAAAATCTCCCTATTGACTTAATTTCAGATGTTGACTGAGAGTAAACAAGGTGATGGGAATTTGTTTAACAGCATTTTGGTTGCTACAATTTATCCTTTGTGGAATATTCCATAGGCAGCATCCCACTGGTTTGATATTGCTCAAATACAACATTTCTAAGTTGGGTTTGTCTCTTCCAACCACCCAATACATCAACTGCAGCAAGCAGGTAAGACGGAGCCTTGCTTTCTGCACCAGGAAGCTTTCCTCTGACTGGACAGCCCACTTCTATGAACTTGGACCACAAACCCCCATAGTTGGCTTCCAGACTTGCAGGCA